TAAACCTACTTTTCCACAATCTCGTGTCCACTCTAGTACTGATTACCTATTCCGGAGGTTTAGTCCGATGCTCATATGATCGTCGAATCTATGTAGAGCCCTTGCACAACCCCTCCAATGAACCCGCTTCTAACTCTTGAAGTCCAGGCCCCTATCTTTCTATAGAAGGTACAAGGAACCCCTATGGAAACCCGTATCAAAACCCCCTGCTTTGTAGTAGCAAAGCTAATTCCCCAAGAGTCTTGTGCTTCGGAGGGACCCTAGTTCAGAGAACCAGTTACGTGGGGCTTGCGACAACCGTCCTGATATGAAGCTCAGCGTGTTGCGCTTAGGGATAGAGTTTAGGGTTTAGGATTTAGGGTATAGGGTTTGAGGCTGAGGGTTTAGAGTACTCGGAGGTTCATGTACTTGGAGGTTCATGGGTAGCCATATCTGAGGTTCCTCTAAGGGTTCTATAGAGTTTATGGTTGGTTTAGGGTAGTTATAACTTAGGTTATAAGTCCCCGAATATGGGGCTATAACTTTGGCTATCACTTATAACACCCTTGAACCTCCAAGTATTTTGTGTGCGTAGCGGGGGGTATAGGCGCTTAAGCCCAAAACATGAAGGTTAAGGGCCTTAGCAGCCAGACTAGGGTCTTGGGATGCGACATAGAATACAGTATGGCGGTATAACTACATAGGGCAAGGGGCACTGTTGCTAGTTATGCCGGCCCATGTATCTGAAAACGTCTAAGCTAGCGAACCACCCAAAAGAAGCTGCCAAGGTGCCTTTGCCCGACGCTGCCTTCTTGCCTTTCTTCCTTGGATGTGGGACTTACGGTTTAGAGTAGAGGATCAATTGGCGATCCAGTGCCACAATTGGAAGGAAGGAACGCAAGCTGCTTCGAGACCTACAGCAGCCGCCAGATGCAGCAGTTGAACAACAACCGATCTGCGGAAACTGAGCCATGCAAGCTTGACATGATACTCTTCCTGCACGGAAGGAGCGATGGGGATGCAAGCCAAACGCAATATGCTCTCTGGACTCTGCACCCAAAGTGGTGTTCCCAAACCCAGGGTTGAACTACAAACCTCTGCGGCCCAAAACCGACAATAAGACTGGCACAAGCCCTTGACCCTAAACCCCAAACTCTGAACCCCAACCCTAAGGTCCATGTACGGGGACTACTTTAAAAACACCCCAAAGTGAATGATATTTGGGTACATGGACGCTTAGGGTAGGCCTTAATGCGAGAACGAAACCGACTTGAGTCTGATAAAATACCAGAGATAGGCGTCTTCTTTGGCTTCTCGTCCTCATCTTCCTCATCTTCCTCCTCGTCCTCAGGCTCCTCTTCGACTTCATCTTCCTTCTCCTGCTGCGATTGCTTCTGATTGTTCCGCACATGGTTGCTATTGCACCTGCGGCTCGGAGGTGACATGCACTGCGTTGCAGAGGCTAGCTTTGGGCTTGCATAGAAACCTGCGCAGTGGATACACTGATCCCGGCACCTCGTCAGCATCTGCTTTGTCCTCGCCCTTGTCGCTTCCGCCACTCAGCTCCTGAAGAATGGACTTCAGGACTTGCTGCCAGACCTACTTGGAAAACACTGGTACATAGGATCATGAGGATATGAGTGTTTATATACCTACCTGCCTACCTGCCTGCCCCTTCAGTCCTTCCTTCCTTCCTTCCTTCCTTCCTTCCTTCCTTCCTTCCTTCCTTCATGCATGCATCTGGGCATATGTCTTCCAAGATACGAAGAATCTTCAACCCTGAGTCTCCCTCCTCAGCATTTAAACTTAAACAGGACTGAAGGTTCAAGCACTCTTGATGCGATGCTAAGTTGTGTACTACTTTGAAGTGCAGTAGGTACGGTTTAGGGTTTAGGGTTTAGGGTTGACCCCTGTCTTCGTAGATGATGGCCTGGGCATCTTCTATCTGTCCGACGCTTCTGCCGTTCGTTGCCTTCCAGCTATCGCTGGTCATTCATGGCATTCATGGCCGAATACAAGTCACGATGACCCTTAAGCCAAACCCATATATCACAAGCATCTCAGTCCAAGAACCCGAAACATTGCTCGACTCTTCTTTGTTTGTGTCAGGATAACATTCATATTATTATCAATGATTATATATATATATAGATAGATACATATTTACTTCTTTATCTGTCTATCCATCTATCTAGCTACACTCCCTTCGGCACAACCTGGCCAGTCAGAAGATGGTTGCTAGTGATTGCAACTAACTAACACCACAACGGCGATGCGGCTGCTGGTGGTCAGGTTTATGGTGACGGCGTTGATGACAGCTGGCGCACTCATGCCAGCCTCGAACATCATTATATCCGGCCTAAGTTTAAACCCTAGACCTAAGCAGGTTGCAGCTAGTTCGAGGCAAACCCGCGAATCCTTGATTAAGGTTCGCTCTGTCTGTTTACACGTACATGGCATGTTATTGTTGACTTAGATATTTTAAGGGTCTCAAGAATTAGACGGGTCTCAAATTGCAGCACGAAGCAAATTTGAGGAGGCCCTGTAAAAAGGTAGGCTGCGGCTACCCTCACAGATCCCCGAAGCCCTTTATAAACCTAAATCCCAAACCTTGAAAAACCAGAAAATCACCCAACCTTAAATCCTAAACGACGAATCCTCGATCCTAAAGCCTAAACCTTTGTAGACAAAAAACTCCGAATCCTAAAGCCTAAACCCTTGTAGACCAAAAAACTCCGAACCCTACCATGTCTCCTTCATCGCCTGCTCTCGGTTCGCCGCGGAGAAGAGCGTAAAGGCCGTTTGTGGGACCTTGCGGCACAGGCGAAGAGAAGCGGTCTCAGGGCTCTTGGATTTAAAATTTAGGGCTTAGGGCTCTAGGATTAAAGCAATTGTTGTTTGCCTTTTGGGTTTAAAGTCTAGGGTTTAGGGCTTTAGGGTTTAGTAGGGCTAGTTTAGGGTTCAGGGTTTAAGGCCGTAGGGTTTCACGGCTTGCAGGGTGAAGTGGCTCAGCTAGGATTTAGGATTTTTGGGGGTTTCTGGTGTTAGGGTTTTGGGGTCTTGGGTGTTGGGTTTGTGGAGGGCTTAGCGGCTTGGGGTTTACGGGGGTATGGGCAGAGAAGCAATGGCGGCCATTTGCCAAATACCCCGCCAGGGCCGAAGATCCTACAAACCCCAAATCCAAATTTTCTTGGCCCGGTCTTCGCGACCCATGGACTCGACGCCCCACAACCCTAAACCCTAAACTCTAAGCTGTAAACTCAGGCTAATTAACATGATCGAAAGCGGGATCAGCTAGCTGCTATAGATAGAGCCCAAACACCGCCAACCAGCTCTGAACGCAAGACTGACATGCATAGAACATCTTCACGCAAAGCGCTTGAAAAACCCTGACAGCGAATCCCTAAACCCTCAATCTTAAACCCCGCACCCTACCCCCGAAAGCCCAGAAGCCCCAAGCCCTAGAACCTAAACCCTAAACCTTGAAGGAACCCTATTCCAATTAATGAAGGCCCCCAAGACACTTTAAGTACAAGCCCGGATAGACCATGATTGGAAACTCCAGCACCGCAAGCCCCGGAGACAGCATCTGAACACACCAAAACCGCAGGGTTTAGGTGGCCAAGGTCTCGGGTGTAGGATTTCGGGCTAAGGGGCTTTGGGGTTTTGGGTTTAGGATTGAGAGTTTAGCGCTTAGGGCTTAGGGCTTAGGGTTTCGAGTTTAGGAAGATGCTTTGGGGTTTAGGGCTGAGGGTTTAGAGTTTAGGGGTTTAGGTGCAGGATTCTGTGTCTAGGGTTCCCACCACAAACATTGGAATTAGGCGGTGGGTGCTAAGCCCCAAACCCTCAGCCCTTACACCCACCGGATACCCGTCTCATCAAGACTAGATCATCCCCTACAGGATCTAACCCCAAACCTCGGGGAACCCCAAACTCCAAAAGCTCCAAGCACAACCTGAATCCTCTAGACTTTGAAGTAACCAGGGAGAAAAAAGTATAGACTTTAATTTCATAAGAACTCCCTCAAGGAACAGGTCCCAAAAGACAGTATCCAAGTAAGGTACTCCAGAACCCAATCCTTTACCCTGTAGCACCTAAACCCTGAACCTGAACCCCCTTAGCCTAAACCCTAAACCCTGAACCCTAAACCCTAAACCCTAAACCCTAAACCCCCCCATACCCCCCAAATCCTTCACCGGCCCCCAAACCCAATAAGGCCCCTGGCCCTGAACCGGAAACCCTAAACCCTAAACCCTGAACCCTAAACCCTAAACCCTGAACCCTAAACCCTAAACCCTAAACCCCGAACCCCGAACCCGAAACCTCTTAACCCCCCCATACCCCGGAAAAGCTCAACCCTAAACCCTAAACCCTAAACCCTAAACCCAACGCACGCTGGCGCCTTGGGAGGGCCGTCCGCCTTTCCTGCAAGGCACCCAATGAGCCGCATCTGAATGGCCTGGCTAAGTGCAGGGTTTACCTTAAGAACAGGGTTTAGGGTTTAGGGTTTAGGGTAAGTGCAGGGTTTACCTTAAGAACCCAAAACCTACTTTTTTGTGGGGTCCCTATAAATCCCATATTAGGGTTTATAATAAGAACCTACCAAAAAGTGGGTTTTGGGTTCTTATGGTCAGGGTTTGGGCCTAGGGTTCGGATTTAGGGATAGGGGCTTAGGGGTTAGGGCCCAGAAGCTAAAGAATAGGGATATCTGCGGCTTAGAGCTCAGGGCTTTCGTCAGTCCCGAGATCTGTCGACCCAAGATTCGAAGAGCAGGATCGTAAGCGGGGTAGATATGACAAACTACATGAATCGCAGTTGTGGCAGCCTGGCAGTACATAGTGCATACCACTTATGGACAAATACAAAGTCTGAAGAAACACAGCTACTTAAACAAGTTGCTATCATGCAGGGGCCCTTAACCGTTGCCGCAAGCTCCAAACCCACCCACGCACCCTCAACTCATGCCCTGATTCGCCTAGAGAAATCATTGCTCGAAGCATGCACCTGTAGGCCTTAAACCCTAAACCCTAAACCCAAAACCCTACACCCTAAACCCCCAAGCCCAAACCCCAAACCCTAAACCCCAAACCATAAACCCCAAACCCCAAACCCCAAACCCTAAACCCCCGAACCCTCAGAGCCGGAACCCTAAGAACTAAATATAGGCGCCTTAATGATTAAAATAGGCTTTCCGGGCCCATGATACTATACCCACTATGCCTATAAAAGGACCCCCCAAAAAAAACAAAAATAGTATTGGTAATTATTTAGGCCCCTACTGTTGATGATATAAATCCTGCACTACCTTAGCGACCCTAAGTATGGGAACTATGGTATCTTCCTTATTATGGGCAATGCAGGATATGTATAATCATACCTAGTGCCAGGGCCTCTCGCTTCTTCTCAAGCTTTGAAGCGTTCTTGGCCTTCTCCTCTCTCACTTTAGCGGGCTTTGGGTGTCTAGGATTTTTCCTTTCGTAGTAAATGTCGGACTCAGGAGTCTTAGGGTTTCGCTTTTTTGGGCTTGAGGAGGATTGAATGTTGAACTTGCTTCGTGAAGAGACGGGTATCGCGACACACAGATGGGTTGGATCATCCTTAACCCTAAGGGTCCATCTGCCTAAATAGTAGATACCTTGGCCTTAAAGTAGTCCCCGTTTGGGTACTTTGGGGCCAAAGTATCTACTATTTGGGTACATGGACCCTTGGGGTAATCTCTTTGTAGCCCAGGGCCCCCCCCCCCCACTAGAGCCTTTCTTGTCCTCAAGACTGGGTATTTAGGGTTTAGGGTTTAGGGCTTAGGGTTTAGGGGTTTAGGGTTTAGGGGTTTAGGGTTTAGGAGTTGAGGGTTAAGGGTTTAGGGTTTCGGGCTTAGGGTTTAGGGTATAATGGAAGGTAGTTCGGGGGTCTAAACCCTGGCCAGAGTTTAGAGGAAGGATAGAAGTGGTCACAACGGGTTTACGATGATAGGTCTTGGTTCTAAAAGGGTTTTGGTGTCTAAAACTCAGTAGAACTTGAACCCTTGAAGGCACCCTTTGAAGGAAACCGATCCTTACTGCTGATGGACAAAATCCTGCATGACCTTAAGGACCTTAAACTATGGGAATTATGGTATATTCCTAATAATGGGTAATGCAGGATTTTGTCCATCAACAGTATGATTATACCCAAGGCCCATCTTGAAGGTACCCTCACAGTCGTACCCTTTTCTACATATTTCTACATACACAGCCCTTAACGGCATCCTTTAGAGGAAACCGACCCCGAAACCCTCTACCCTAAACCCTAAACCCTACACCCTAAACCCTAAACCCTAATCCCTAAAACCCTAAACCCTAAACTCTACACCCTGAACCCTAAGCCCTAAACCCTAAACCCTAAGCCGTAAACCCTAAACCCTAATCCCTAAACTTTAAACCCTTAGCCCGAAATAGGGTTATGTCAGTCCTCGGCTTCCTTGATGATCTGCGCGATCGGCTTCGGCGGAGCCCCGGGTTCCTGCCCGGCTTGGCTATCCTCGTACCTCGGCTTAGGGCCTACAGGGCTAAGGGCTTAAGGGGTTCGGTTCTAGGGCTTAGGGTTTAGGGTTTAGGGTTTAGGTTGTAGGTTTTTGGGTGCAGGTTTGTTTGCTTTTGGGGCTGAGGTTTTAGGGTTTTTGGGCAACTAGGAACCAGCTTCTTGGAGCATACTTAGGGCCATGGTAGTAGGGCAGCGATAAAAGTAAGAACCGCAAAGCACTTATGGAGAGGCGGAGAGGGTTCAAAATTAATCAGGTCGGGTTTAGGCTTTCGATCTGTTTCTTTAGCAACTAAAAATTAAACCCTAAACCCTAAGACTTAAACCATAATAAACCGTAAACCTTAAACCCTAAACCTTATAACTCCTAAGCCCTAAGCCTTAAACCCTANNTAAACCCTAAGCCTGAAACCCTAGACGATCTTCATGTCAGTAGCGCCAAGCAATGGGTCGGGCTTGGAACCCAGCATTGCGTACCCCTATTTAAGGACTTTTAGAACCCTAAATTCGGTAGGTTTTTTGGGGTTGAGGTATCCTTTGGGCGAATTCGGGAGCTCAAAATTTGCAGGAACTTTGGGTTGCAAGGCTAAACAGAGCACTTCGGTGCTTCGGAGTTTCGGCTCTTGCCTGTTAAGGCTTCGGGGCTTAGGGGTTTAGGGG